CCATAAAGAAAGCTGAGTGCTGAAGAACTGATGCCTTTGAACTGTGGTGTTGGAGAAGACTCTTGAGAGTTCCCTGGACAGCAAGGAGATCAAACCAGTCAACCCCAAAGGAACTCAGTCCTGGATATTCACTGGAAGGACTGATGCTGAAACTCCAATAGTTTGGCCACCTTATGCAAAGAACTAACTCACTGGAAAAGACCCTAATGCTGGGAAAGACTGAAGGTAAGAGGAGAAGGGGATGACAGAGAATGAGATGGTTGGATGGCATCACCAACTCAATGGACATGAGTTTGAGCAAGCTCCAGAATTGGTGATCAACAGGGAAGCCTGGCGTGCTGCAGTCCATGAGGTCACAAAGAGTTGGACGTGACTGAACTGATTACAAAAACAACCGAAACAGCTCAGTCCAGCACAGAGAATAAACAGACAACAAATAGAAGGAAACATTTTAAATCATATAAACTACATAGATACTGGGAAATACTTATGTAAAATAAATGATATTGTTTAGTGACAAGAGTCAGATGTAGACATAGGTGTATGTGCATTTGTTTGTGAATGTTCTCATGTCACTTCCTTGAGTAAAATCCTTCAACTCGTCCTCACCACAAGGATTTACAAGGGCCTTCATCCTCTGGATCCTGCTACATTTCTAGACTCACTGCTCATCACTCCCCTGTTAGCACTCTACCCTTCACCCTTATCAAAGTTCTTGAAGTTTTTCCAGTTTCTAAAACTTAGCATACTTTTTCATGCCTCCCACCTTCTCTGAGTACCTAATTCCAACCAAAGCTCTCTTCCAGACCTAATTTAAACAACTGTGATTTGAAGCCATGAGCCAAAGTTATGACCTTCTCTGCACTTCCAATAACTTGTGTACAATCCTTTATCATACCACTTCTACAGTAATTGCTAGTTTACATGCTGCTTTCTTTCACTAAACTGAGTTCTTTGAGGGCAGAGATTATTGTTCATATTTGTGTCCTAGAATAATCATAATAAAAGCTTGATAAAATAAACGATGAACAGCAAATGAAGGGTTTCCAAGAACACGGATTGTTTTTCTCTTCTGAAGTTATTTAGATAAGCAATCTTAATGTAAATCACTTTAAAGAAATATGGTTATTTTAAACAAAAATATTTTCTTCCTTTTCAGGATAACTTTTTTTCAACTCAGGCAGCAGCTTCAACCACTGTGGTAATGTTTTAGCAGACTATAAGCTTACTTGCCAAAAGTTATAGAGCAAAAATGTTACGTTACTGCCAGCATTCATCTGCAGCTGTCCTTTAAATGATGCACTTACATTCCATCTCAGGACAGTTTATTCTCATATTTAATCCAGTCCGTAAACTTTAGATAAAACATATAAACCAGGAGGCCAGATATTAAGAGGTAAAGGAAGTACGTGTTCCTTTCTGTTAACCTGAGAATGCAGACAGGACTTGAATCCCACCCCAGCCCCAGCCCCAGCGACTATGATGTGCTTGCAGGCATACTACAATATTTTAGAAGGAATGACTCCCTGCATAGGGAGGAAAGAAGGAAAAATCAGAATGCTAAGTAGGGGCTGCAGAGGTTTTCAGAAATAAACTCTTTTCAAGTAAGCATCCTTTAATCTAAAAGCTCCAGAAAGGAGGGGAAGTCCACACTGAGAAAAATTCAAAAAGGCCTGGGGAGTTTCACTATGAGAGAAACTTGCTTCTCCTTTCAAAGCAAAAGGGAAGACTCAGATTTTCACTCCGGCACGGTCACGCTGGGCATATAATTAAACAGACCGCAGTGACCCCATAACCAAACAGACGGAAGCAGGAGGCGGTCTCACATGTGAAGACAAAACCCTGCTCTGCTCGGGAGGGTGATACAGCACTTGGTTCCTCCCGGGACAGGAACTGGAGGTTTTTTCCGACTCAAAGGAGGTTAAAACTCTATCCAAAGGGAAACTGGGAATTATCTATCGGTTTCGAAGGCTTTGAAAATCCTTGGCTCCCTTCCCAAGGCTGTGAGAACTGCCAGCAAGGTCCTCTTCTGGGTTTCTGTTTCTCCTAAATACCCCATCGAGCCATAAACGCCGCTTCGCTGGGGTTTTTCAGTCAGAAACATGTTTTCTTTCCAAATTTTCAGGACAATTTCCCACAGGAGGCCTGGGAAACAAGGGAGGTACGGGCCTACTCTGAGGGCGGCGAATCCAGCCCTCAGGCCAAACACGTTAAAGCCCCGGAGAGAGTTCACCACCTCCGGATTAAAAAAAAAAAAAAAATGATGGGGGGCCTCGAGTGACTCCTCACTGACCCCAACGCCCCCTCCTCTTATTCAGAAGTCTTCTGCCCCAGTCACCAAGGCCCAAGGCCGAACGACCCTCCTAGGCTTCCGCCCCGTGACCAGGCCCCTCCGAGGCCAACGTTCCCTGCGGCCGAAGCCGAAGCCACGCGCCGAAGCTACTAACCGGACCCCACTCCCGGCGTCCGCCGGGGAAGCGTGGGCACCTCGGGTTGGAAGAGGGATGATACACGAGGGGGGTCAGGGCAGACAACCGAGGCATACAACCACTACCTTTCCCCTCGACGACGTGCCTCTCGGCGGGCGCAGCGGAAGCAGCAGAAACACCCAACACGGCCACAAGCGGCGCAAGACGCTCCGGCTGTGACTGCAGCTTCCCCACTGAAGGTTCTGGAAGCGGACTGGCTGGGCATGCGCAGTGCGCTCACGCTGGTAGAGCCCGGCTGCACCTCGCAGGCAGGCGCAGTACGGAGCCAGGGCCGGAGCCTCGGTTCGCTCTCTGGTTCCTTCGCAGCTGCGCGCTGGTTAACTGGAGGCCTACGGGCACTGTGCTCGACACTGCACGCAGGTGTGGGCCCTCGCAAACCTTCCTTGTTCTAATGGTGGTGTGTGTTAAGTCGCTTCAGTGGTATCTGCGACGTTATGGACTGGAGTCCACCAGGCTCATCTGTCCATAGGAGTCTCCAGTCAAGAATACTGGAGTGGGTTACCATGCCCTCTTCCAGGGGATCTTCCTGACCCAGGGTTTGAACTCGCATCTTCTAGTCTCCCGCATTGGCAGGCTGGTTCTTTATCACTAGCGCCACGTGGGAAGGGAGATGTTAACCATAGGATGGCTGATAACGTATTAATAACATTACCTTGCATGGCATTTGAATGAGAAGAAGCATGTAGTGCCATGAAATGGCATGGTAGGGGACCCGACCAAGTCTGGGGATAAGGGAAGTCTCCCCGGGGGAAATGCCAACCTGAGAATCTAAGGTGGGTAAGCAGTAGGGTAGGGAGGTAGATGCCAAGCATCTGTTCACGTCCCAGGCAGGGAACAGCATGAGTAAAAACCGTGTGATAGGAAAGGAGCATTGCGCCTCAGGAAATGAGGGAAGAAAAGGAGAGCTGGAGTAGAGAGTGATGCAAGAAGAGACTTGGGCATGGGCAGATCACCTGAGCCTTGATCTTTATTCTAAGAAGTTTCCACTTAACTTTCCTTGCTAGAAAAAAATGGCCACTAGCTCTGTGATATTTTGCAGTTGAAATTCCTTGTTGCCATTCATTTCACCAGACTGTGAGATCAGTAACAGTTTTCTCAACTGAGGGAAGTGAAGCTCACAAACTTTGTCACACATACTTCAAGTAGCAAAGCTGGGACCAGAACCCAGCTCCACATGTCACAGTTGTTACCAAAATTAAGCAAAACCAAATGAGTAAGCTGTGTCAAAGTTCACCACAAGTTTTCTTCGAAAAGAATTCTTAATATTGTATTTAAGCACAATAATCCGTCTAGAAACCAGCTCAAAAATGTGCATCATGTAACAGAAAATGCTGATATCTGTTCCCCTCACACTCTACAGCATGCATTTTCAATGTGGGGGAGGAAATGTTGGCCTCAGGGGGACAATAATTGGTTCTTGGGGTGCTAAAAATTCCTATATATTAACAATGACTCGTGACATGATAAAAGAATCTGCCTGAAATTCAGGAGACCCAGGTTTTGATCCCTGAGTGAGGAAGAACCCCCCCAAGAAGGGAATGGCTACCCACTCCAGTATTCTCGCCTGGAGAATTCCATGGACAGAGGAGTCTGGCTGGCTACAGTCCGTGGAGTCACAATGAAGTTGGACAGGAGTGAGCAACTAGCACTTTATCTTTCAATTAGTAATGTTGAACTTTATACATGTGTTAATTGGCCATTTGTGTATCTTCTTTATAAACTCCTTATCAGGTTTATGATTTGCAATTGTTTGCTCCCATTCCATAGGTTGCCTTTTCACCCTGTTGATTCTTTTCTTTGATACACAGAGGTTTTTAAGTTCAATGTAGTACCAACTGTCTATTTTCAAATGATCCATTATTCTAACTAATCTAACCATTAAAAAATAATAATAGTCTGTAGCAGCAATCATATAAAAACAAAATGAACTTACCAAAGTAGAAAATTACCTAGTCCCTGAGTTAATACATTAAAATGTATTTTGATAGTTTAAGATTGTTGGGTAGGCAATATTAGAAAAAATAAATATGGCCATATATTATACATAAAGATATTCTACAAATAGCAAGAAAATTTGAAGAGTGTTTTACTTATCTTGACTTTCATGTTTTCCATCTGGAAACACTTCCAACCCTTTTTGTATAATTTTATTATACTCATTATATAAATTATCCTTCATCCAGGTGAGCCACTGTGTGTGCTAAAGGCTGCTAATGTTGATGGTTTCACATCTCTTACTATAAACTACCCATTTATGTGAAATGGAAAGAAATAAAGTATGCAGAAATTCCCTTGGATAGGAGAGTAGGGTTTCCCCTAGCACAGTTAAGTTTGTAGCCAGTTTAGCTGGATCAGCTGAGACCACCAGCCAATCAGATTTTAGGAGGGAAATGGATTTCCTAAATAAATATGATTTCAAACAGCATGTTCTCTAAAGACTTTCTCAGGCTTAAAATCTAATAAAGGAGTGACTCACTAGAACAAATACAGGAGTTATTTCACTCTACCAATATGAAGAAAAGGGGTGCTCATCTCCTTTTGGGTATCATCTTCCTGACTCTGACTGGAGTTCAAGGTAAGGGATTATAAATTATATTAAGTTGGTAAAGTCAGAGATGTAAATTGCTATAAAAGCCTTTTGATTTGCATTGCTTTGCATGCATCAGAAAGTGATGTGAGTCACTTGTGGGCAGTTATCCAAAGTTCATATCTTGGATGGACCTGCCATGTCAAATACAAATCTCAGTTTATGTGTGTGAATTCCTGGCATGCAGTAGGTGTTCAGTAAATGTTTGTTGCACTGTTTGGTAATGAGACGGGAGACTTTGTCTCCTCGATAATTTTTGCCAGCCCGACAGAGTTTGTTGATAAGTATGTCTGTGATTAACCAATTAAGTATCTGATAATCAGAGAGCTTGTTCCTCAGGAATAACCTTTACTAACTACCCTTGTTATTTGTGGCAAATTAATGAGCTTTTCTGCTTCCCTGGTGGCTCAGAGTAAAGCATCTGCCTGAAATGCAGGAGACCCGGGTTCGATCCCTGGGCGGGGAAGATCCCCTAGAGAAGGAAATGGCAACCCACTCCAGTATTCTTGCCTGGAGAATCCCATGGACAGAGAAGCCTGGTGGACTACAGTCCACGGGGTCTCAAGAGTCGGACACAGTGGAGCGATTTCACTTTCTTTCTTTCTAATGAGCTTTTCTAGACTTTAGTTCCCTCAGCTGTAAAATGGAGATTGTATAGTTATGCTTTTTCTACCTACTACTAAATGAAAAAATTAAGGAATGAAGATAGTGTATTTTAAAGAGTTTTTGAAAGTTTAAAGCACTACTGAAAACCAAGGCAGTGGGGAAGATTAGGATTAGTGGTAATTAGTTACTATAAGTAGACCTTTTTATTGAAACCAACACCAACTCCATTTCACTAAGGTCAGATTAAAAAATGGCTTTGGGAGGTGTTTGAGAAGCTATGGTCTGCATAGCACACATGAATTAGGTATACACGTGTCTGACCTATGATAGGCATTTATTGAATATTTTAAAAATCTCTTTTCCTAAGGCTGTAAAATATGACATGAAGTGGAAGTGTTAGTCCCTCAGTCATGTCCAACTCTTTGAGACCCAATGAACTGTAGCCCGCCAGGCTCCTCTGTCCATGGGATTCTCCCAGTAAGAACCCTTGGAGAAGGGAATGGCTACCCACTTCAGTATTCTTGCCTGGAGAATCTCATGGATATAACACCATGGAGATAACACCTACTTGAAAATCTTGTGGTAATGATTGAAAGACACTCAGTAGATGATAGTAATAGTCATTACTACGTCAAATGTATCATTTTAGTGTATCACCTAAATGAAGACATAACTTTCGATTGATGTTTTCTACCCTCTGTTTTTCCCTTAGGAATCCCAGCAGTAAAGAATGGACGCTGTTCCTGTATCAACACCAGCCAAGGGATGATCCATCCAAAATCCTTAAAGGACCTTAAACAATTTGCTCCAAGCCCTTCTTGTGAGAAAACTGAAATCATGTAAGTAAAAACTCATTCAACACATGTCCAGCATTAAATTTAATGTGAGTACTACCCTGGGAATACTTGCCCATCCAGACAATTAAAATGCAGATGATTGCCCCTCCGTAAATCTGGTATACTTCTTTCTTTTCTTCTAAAAAAATAAGCAATTTCTGGTAGGGATAAGGAACCAAGGATGATATATTACCAAAGTATTATGTGTTCATTGAAGAAAATGTTTAATATAAATTACCGAAAAGAAGAAATTAAAAATTCTCGTAAATTCTACCATCCAGTCATAAGTAGTGTCATTCTTTTGGTATATATACACACTTTTGTGTGTACATATATAGATACAAAACATATACATACATATACATATATTTATATACACAATATATGTACACAAAAACAAAATCATATACCATATACATTTTCGTAAGCTGCTTTTTCACTAGCACTATATCATGAACTTTTCCTGTCAGTAAGTCTTGTGTAATGACATCATTTTTCTTAATGTCATTTTTAATGACCAAATTTTATTCTATTATATGGACATACCATAATCTATATGACCAATACCTAAATGTAAGTTCTTTCCAATTTTTTTGCTATTAAAAACAAACTGTTACTGTATCAGTATTATGTCTTTAATTCTCTCCCATATTGATATCTTTCTAGAGATTAGAATTGTTAGGTTAAAGATGTGTGTGTTATTCACTCAGTCGTGTCTGAGTCTTTGTGACCCCATGGACAGTACCCCACTAGACTCCTCTGCCTCCTCCTCCTTTTATTCTTAGATTAGACAGAAATTAAAGAAAAAAGTCCTTAAATTATTCCTGGAGAGTCTGATGTAATTTTAAAGATTCAGCCAGTCCATTAATCTTGTCTTAGGGAAACATTTTATTATGTTTTAAGTTGTTTTACTAGAAAATTTAGTAAAATTCACGCTCATTTTCATTGTTTGGGGAGGAAAGTAGGTATACTGGCAACTTTTCTATTTTATGTTTTCACTTAAACATAAATAGCTTTTTCCAGCATAAGAGAACCAATATTATCTTTAGATATAAGTTCTCCCATTGCATATACCTGTTGGATTTTTTTAAATTTAGAGTTATGTGCTATCCTAGAAATGTATCTAAGTCCCCTCAGTGACTTAAAAAAATGAAAAGACAGGAAAAAGACTGAAGTCCCAGATGCTACAAATATATTTTAATTGGGGAATTGAATTCTGTGGATAAGAGAAAGCATTTGAATCATTAAAACTAAAAGAAAAAGCCAAAAACTTGTTGCTGTTTCTTTGGTAGTGCTACAATGAAGAATGGGGATCAAGCCTGCCTAAACCCAGATTTACCAGAAGTGAAAGAACTGATTAAAAAGTGGGAGAAACAGGTGGGTGAAAAAGGGACAAGATTTGCTTTCTTTTTGAAACTAACTTTGGAAGTCAAAGAATTATGGAGCGCCTTTAAGGTTACATTTTTCCCTCATGTTACTGTGCTACCATTTTTTCCCCTAGAATGTGGAATTATATTCCTGCTTATGGTATCACTTGTCTGTCTGTCCCACTAGAATGTGTGTCCCATGTGGGTAGGGAGTTTGTCTTTCTTATCCAATATAGTACATGCATATTGAATGGTAGATCATGAGGATAGGGAATTCGCTGGTGGTCCAGTGGTTAGGACTCAACACTTTCACTGCCAGGGCCCAGGTTCAATCCCTGGTCAGGGAACTATCTCATGACATAGCCTCCCCCCGCCCCCCCAAAAAAATAGGTAATGAGATAAAGTCATTTCCTGCTGTAGCAGATTAGCTAACAATTAATTACAGTACAACGTAGAAAATATAAAATAAAGATAAGTACAAGAATCTTGAAGATAATAGAGGAAAGAGTAATTAACTTTGCCAGAGGAGGGGGACAAGGAGAAGGTGTTAAGGAAGACTTTTCATATCAGGTGATTTGATCTGGATCTTGAAGGATAAGTATTTCACTGGGAGGGTAAGGAGAGCATGGAAAAAAAAAGACTAGGATCATGAGAGAGCTCACTGTGCTCGGGGAACCTTGAATAATATGGCTTGAGTTTGTGTGGAGGAAATGAAGGGACTGAGGTAGAAAAGTAGACCAGGACAAAGCCAGAGGAATCCTGTTTGAAATGCCGAGGGTTAAGTTGGAAGAGGACCACAGCATATGTAGTTGGGAGCTTGATTCTGGACGCTGACAGAGGAGCCGTTCTGGCACATACCAGCTGTGCAACTTTTGGCCAAGTCACCCGCTCCGAGCCTCCATCTCCTTGTCTGTAAAAACCGGATGATAATCCAGCCTCTCAGGAAACGATAGTCATTCAGTCGTGTCTGACTCTTTGCAACCCCATGGACTGTAGCCCGCCAGGCTTCTCTGTCCATGGAATTTTCCAGGCAAGAATACTGGAGTGGGTTGCCATTTCCTACTCCAGGGGATCTTCCCGGCCCAGAGACTGAACCCAGGTTTCTTGCATCTCCTGCATTGGCAGGTGGATTCTTTACCACTGGGTCATGAGCAAGATTGGAGTGGGGATAGCCAAGAAAATAGGCAAAAGAAAACCAGTTAGAAGGCTATTGCTTCTTCATCAAAGTAACTGAAATAGAATCAAAAGGAGCCTCTCCAAGAGTGATGCAACTTTAAACTGGTTATGAGGATAAATAAAGACCACAGTCTAGAGAGTCCAAATATAATATAAGGAAGGAAAAATGGTAAGATAGAGAAACACTACCCCCACCTTTTTTTTTTTTTGCTGTCTCCTCACAGGTCAACCAAAAGAAAAAGCAAAAGAAAGGGAAAAAATATCAAAAAACCAAGAAAGTTCCAAAAGTTAAAAAATCTCAACGTTCTTCTCAAAAGAAGACTACATGAGCTCCCACTTCACCAACCATTATCTTGTGTTAAACAGGTTCTTTTAAACTAACTGAAATAAATCGTGAAAGGGATGGCATCTTAATACAAAAGCTTGTTGATCTGACTAGAAAATTTACAACATTATTTTGTACTTATAATTAAATCTAGAAAATTGCTTTTCAAAATCCAAATGTGAACAGTTGTTAGAGGCTATAGTTTGTCTTTGTTCTTCCACCTCCGACCAACTGAATTTCCTCATGCTTAAGCCCACAGTTTTAGCAACACCCACATCTGGACAAATGTCCTCACAGCTACAGCCCACACACAACAGCTGCCTGGGAGAGCAGCTGCAGGCTTCCCAGGCCTCCAGAGAACATCCTGAGGCCCAGATCAGCAGGCCCGCCAGCCTGGCAGTGTGCTGACAAGCAAAGCAGTTTGGAGTCGAGCTGGGCCTTGCCAAGCTGCTGTAGCTGTCAGCATCTGTATTTGCATCAGCCTGTGGGCCTCATATACAGTGTATCTGAGAGATTCATGCCAGTTATTCCTCTGGGGAGGGGGAGGGGGGCCGGGGGCGTCACCACTGAAGACCCCTAGCACTTGGCTTTCAGAACCTTCCATCTGGTGTTGAGGCCGTGGGACTCCATCTTGCCTGCCCACGCCGACTGCTTCATTCCTTCCTGTTCCCTTTGCTTCAGTCAAGCCAGTTCCCCACCATCCTCCCACGGTTCAGTGTCCGCTCCCTCTACCACACAGGTCACATCCTGCCTCACCTGGGTCTACAGTTTTCTCACTCTTCCCCCAACACCCCATGGAAATATCTCCTTCCCCTCACATGCACTCACTTGATCCAGTCTTCAAGGGTCATTTTCATCCTGCCTCTGCAACAAAATCTTTCCACTTGGATTTTTTTAAGACTCCTATTTCACTGGTGTCCAACACCATAGAGGGGAGCACTTCATTACTTTCTGTTTTTTGCTTGTTCATGTTAATTCTCCAACAAGGTTGTCAACTCCTTGAGGGTAAGGGGCACAGTTTATTTCCCTGAATCTGCCACCAAGCCTAATATACTGTGGAATTAGGCTTTGAATCATTTTGCAGCTATTACAGGTAAGAGAACAATAGACCGTCTCCTCAAAGCAGGAGGAGTTAATTGACTACTCCATGTAGTCTAACCCTGGTAACATTTTTTATTCATTATCTTCAGGCCGTTATCACTTCAAGGACTGAGGGTGATGCAACATCCTTGTTGTTTTTCTTTTTTGAGTGTGTGTTAAACAGCTTTAATCTCGGTCATTGCGGCTTCTCAGCACAGTAAGAGATATTGCACATGATCAACATGTTTTGTTCTGGGGATGCATCCTTGTTTTATTGTGACAGGATGTCAACTTGGCCTCTCCAACGGATAAGAAGGAAACGTTTAAATCATTTGTGGACATTCTAAACTGTTTTCAATTAAATATACAGGATGCCTGGAATCATTGAATCTTACCAATGGAAAGGCACTTTGGAGACCAACCGGTGTCTAACCTTTTCCCACAGAATATAAAAATTCCTTCAGTACCGTTCCTGACAAGCCTCAGTTTTCCAAGATCTGACAAGAAAGTCACCAAGATCCTTTTGAAAACTCATTTTAGGAAAATGTGAATTTCACTGTCAGTTTGACTTGTTTCCGAGTTTGTGAATATTGTGATTATCAATCACCACACCAGCTCTCATGAAGAGTGTATTAAGTCACCAAGTGCTAGAGGGACCAGTGAATCCTGTTAGTGGAGGCATGGATAGTGCCCAGTGAGCCTCTGCAGGGCTTGGAAACCCTCTTAAAGAGGGAGTTTCAATCACTACATAAGAGAGGATATCAGGCCAGAATTTAACCCCTGTCTAGTTTCTCAAATTTTGTCAGTCCTTACACTGCAGATGATTTTCAGTGCTGCCCAGTGGTGATCCCAAACAGCGTCTTAACTAGTCATGAGACTCTTAGCTCCTTTCATGTAACTCCCCTGAAAAATCGAGATGTTCCATAATCTGAGAGTTTGACCCAGTTACCTTGCATCTTACTACTAAACTGGTCAGTGTATCACTAATACCCAAAGACTACATGTTTTGACTAAGTTAGCTGTGACTTATATATATGATATATATGTATACATATATGCTGTAAGCAAATATTAATTCAAAGCGGTATTGACATCTATACTCTGTACTTTGAAATATTTTCTTTATTAAGACAATGCTATCAGCAGCTATACTCTATAAGAATTAATTTTTGAAAATTTTTAAAAAGACAATGCTATCAATAAATGGACCATTGATCAGAAAAAAGTCTTGATTTTTTTAATGTCATGAATATGTGCCTCAACTATTACATGTTTAACAGCAATTCTCATGTGTCCTTATTCATTTGCTTTCATCTCAAATAAGGTGTAATTGAGATAAATACATGGAAGCTCTTTAAAGGGCTCTTTGGAGACAATAACTTCACAGAAAATTTGACACTATACCTTATAACAACATTGACCTACAAGAGTTATATGGAATGCAATTTATTTCCTAATCCTCGAGGGCAATACCATTCCAATAAGACATATATCCAAGAGACCATAAGTGTCCCAACTCTTTTCCATACCCTAAAACTATATATGTTTAAATTTTATAAAGTCTCAAGAAGTTATGGAGACCCAAATATAGGATAGGTTATTCTAGAGTCCAGGAAACTTGGGCTGGAAGTACTATGCAGTGTGGAGTCTTTAGAAAGTTGGCAGTGGACAGAGACTATCAGCTTTGTATATTTGAGGTCCACTTGATAGACCAGACAGGTGTGATGTTTGGGCAGCTAGCAGCTGCTGATGGTGACAGGACAAAGCCCTCAAAGGCTACTGTGAAAAGAGAGAAGATTGCAGCTTCTGAGATATCTGGGTTAAGGTCAGAAGCCCACCATTTATTAGCTGTATGACCTTGGTCCAAGTGCACTTTTGCCCTCCCTGTGCGCCAGGATCCTCCTCCAGGAGTGTTTGAGAAACAGGCCCAGCCTAGATCTTGATGCATAGAAAGTCCCCACTGCCAGTCCCAACCGTTTACCTCTGCTCACTTTCTTCACAACAGAATGTGTTTCACATCTCATGCACACAGAGAGATGTTTCCAGGACTGAAGAAATAGGTTGGAGAAATGAAACCAAAAGCCCACCTAACCAGTTTTCTTTATCTGTATTTTAATTCCATCATCCGGGCCATCATTGTCTCCTTCCTAGGCCACCTCGATAGCTTCCTCTTTTCTGCTTCTTTTTCTCAACTTTTCTCTTGCTCCTTTCAAAGCATAAGTCACAGAAGACCACCACCTTACTTAATACCCTGTCATTTCCCTTACTTCCCTTAGTGAAATGACATCCTCTCCCCAGGCTCTCTGTTGTAATGCTTTCTAAAGTGGGGTGTGTGCATCCTATGGGGTAGATGTAATCAGAGTATTTATAACATATTTCATCTGAAAAATAAGAAAGAACTGAAGAGGTAGTATAAACCCAAAGTCAGCAATTTAAGCTTCACTCAATGCACTTGTCAGGTCACGCTGTGTCACATCCTGATTTCCTGCGGAAAAAGTGAGACTTCCTCACCTGGGAGGGATGGACACGTGCCCTCATTCAGTCAGTCACTTTCTGCAACAGTTGGTCGCCACTTATGTGGGCACAGTCCTCTATGGTGTTACTGTTTGTTTGCTCAGTCATATCTGACTGGTGACCCTGTGTACCATAACCTAGCAGGCTCCTCTATCCCTGGGATTTCCCAGGGATACTGGAGTTGGTTGCCATTTCCTCCTTCAGGGGATAATATGGTCAATTTGGTGTGTTTTTTTTTTTTTTGCTGGTATAGAGAGGATGAAATTAGGTGAGAAAGGAAAACAAGCAAGCTTCCTTACAAAGAGTTAATTAGCTCCTAGGCAGTCACCGGGCTAAAAGATCTCCTGAGGCACTTTGCACCAAGTTTCCAGGCTGCAGTTTGACCCTGTATTTTAGGGAGGAAAGTGAATCACAAATGAGTAATCAAGTCAAGGTCTGTGAATGAGATTGAGAACTGGGACAAATTGGTAAAGGATTAGAGGGAAAGGTATCAGGTAATACTATACAAAATTTGTAATGCTATAAAATTTGCTATATAATTTTAAAAATCTTATCCTTTAAATATGCTATTTCACTTTACTGCTTCAAGCAGACTGTTTTCATAAGGAATTTGTTTTACAAAAAAAAAACAACAACAACCAAAAGGAAAATTCGCTCGTACCTCTAACTCCAGGGAATGAGGCCTTCTGTGTAGTGTGTGGGACCAAGTAGCCCCAGCCACCTACTATCAGCTTCCCTTCACCATTTGAGTAGACTTCCTCCAGAAAAGGGAACTAGTATCACAATCTGCTCATGTGAGAGGAGAAATGTCAAGGTAAATCATTAACAGAGAGGAAATAACATGTTACTTAAAAAGAGAGATGCCAGCAATCACTTCTACCATATTAAAACCATCAGAACATATCTCCTAGCAGATGTCTCTGGTATGGGGCTTTTGATTAGGGCAAGACTGGCTGGGGGATTTTATGGAATGGAATTTAAAGTGAAAGTCAGCTAAATTTCCCCAAATAATAAGGAAACAGAAATTACCTCTGACAGGCAGGGAGGGGGTTGGGAATCCTAGAACAGCAAAAAGAGAGGCCAAAGGAGATGGGCGTCAAAGCCTGCTGTAAAAATGACACCAGGGGGACTTCCAGTGGTCCAGTGGTTAAGACTTTGCCTTCCAATGCAGGGGGTGCAGGCTCAATCCCTGGTTAGGGAGCCAAGATCCCACATGCCTTGCAGCCAAAAAAGAAAAACATAAAGCAGAAGCAATATTGTAACAAATTTAATAAAGACTTTTAGAAAATGGTCCACATCAAAAAATAAAATCTTTTAAAAAAAATGACAGCAGGTTGCAATAATAAAGGTATAGAACATCAGTGAGAAATCTCCTATAGTGGGATCAGTTCCATTCAGTTCAGTCACTCA